GGATCGACCAGCTCGTTGATGCCACTTCTGGGCATGAGCTGCTAAGCTTTATGGACACCTATTCAGGATATAATCAAATCCCGATGTACGCATCAGACGAAGAGCATACCTCGTTCGTTACAGATTGGGGACTGTGTTGTTACAAGGTCATGCCCTTCGGCTTGAAGAACGCTGGGGCAACTTACCAGCGGTTGGTCAACCGTATGTTTTTCGAATAGATCGACAAAATGATGAAAGTCTTTGTTGATGACATGCTAGTTAAGTCGCATGTCACTTCAAATCACATAGCACATCTCGCTAAAATGTTCGACGTGCTTCGGAAGTACAGAATGAAACTCAACCCCCTCAAGTGCTCATTCGGGGTATCCTCATAAAATTTTCTAGGGTACATGGTTAACCAGTGGGGGATAGAAATCAACTCCGAAAAGATCCAAGCTCTTCTCGATATGAAAAACCCCACCAGCAAAAAGCAGGTTCAGAGCCTAAATGGCAGGATAGTGGCTCTAAGTCGCTTCATATTGAGAGCAATAGATCATTGCTTGTCATTTTTTAACGTGCTTAGGGCCAACAAAAGTTTGAATGGACTTTAGAGTGCGAACAGGCCTTTCATAGTATAAAAGAACACCTTAGAAGACCACCTCTCCTGTCCAAGCATCTTCCCAAGGAAATTTTACTTCTGTACCTGTCCGTCTCCTAGCATGTGATCAACACTACTCTCATCCGGGAAGAAGGCAGAGTTCAATGGCCAGTGTATTACGCAAGCAAGCGACTGTTGGACGCCAAGATATGGTACCCAGAAATGGAGCGATTAGCTTATGCCTTGCTGATGGCCTCTAGAAAGCTGCGACCCTACTTCCATGCCCACACAATCCATGTTCTGACCAACTACTTGCTCATGCAAGTTCTTCGAAAGCCGAAAGCTTCGGGTAAGTTACTTAAATGGGCAATGGAACTGAGTCAATTCGATCTACATTACAGACCGAAAGCAAGCATCAGAAGGCAAGCTGTCTTTTGCGAGAGTTTCATTTTTCTTTCTAAGAATTTGAATTATGTGGCAACAGTCTGAAGCAAATTTGAGTTTTATAGGGGAAAAGCGATGGTTGGTTTCTTGAGCAAGCTACGTTTGGGTGGGACATGTTTCTCACCATTGATTATGACCACATGTTGTTAATCCGCGAGATGAGTAACCTCCATGTTTCGTAAACGCCAATCGATGTTTCCCTCCATTGGAATGACCAAACGACGGCACGGTTACCCTCCTCCACATTAAATGTGCCTTTATCCGTATTTAATGCCTCGAAAGAGAATGTCGATTCAGCATGGCTTGCATTAAATTCGCATGGCTGACACTTATTGCGTAATGGACAAGCCTATCAGAATAAAGGATATTTTATTGGTTAGGTGAACCATTACACGCAATGAATAACATCTGAAGAGGTCGTTCAAATTAACACTCTTCGTCGCGCGTCAATTTCAAAACTATGCGACTCCTCGCCTTTGATAAGAGATATGATGAGAATTTTTCAGGTCGTGAGCTAAGGTCGAGACTTAGGGCATGTTGATATGGCACTAATTGTGATTTGAATCAGGTCGTTGAACCTGCCATAAAAAACCACATCAGGTCGCTAGTGTAGCTTTCAGGGATCCATGTAGCTCGACCGGCTCGATCAAGTGTCATCCAGGACAAGTTGAGTCGCTGCATAATAATGAAGTTCTCAAGGTTCAACCCTTAAACCTTAAAAACTAAAGATGGGGGGGGGGGGGGGTGGCGGTGTGGGTGCGCGGGCACTTCTGTTATGCCCAAAAACCAGGGCTAGCATAAGTATAAATCAATAGAAACCAATCAGAATTCAAGAAGGTTTTATGTCGTCTGGATACAGCCACGTCCCGCAAGGATGAGAGGGGTAAGACCATCATTAATGAGGTAGGTGAACGCCAGACTTATGAGTAGTTGGGAATTGTCCACCTGTTAAAGCCTTATACGATTTAAGGATATCTCTCGTGCAGACAACCAATGGGAAGCGGGCTAGGAATTGTACCACACCTGCCCGCACACAGAATCATGATTACCAACTTGAGTCCTCCAACTATATATAGAGGGCTCTCCTTTATTTTAGAACATAGGCTCATCCACTTCTCTCTGTCTCTACATTTATTTTACTATTGTAATTCAACTCACCGAGTACGACCTGATTGTAATCAACCATTAATATAATCACAGTGGACGTAGGATTCGCCTTAGAGCATCCGAACCACTTTAAAAATTGCTATCTACTTAACATCTCTTTTTATACTTCTATATCACGTGTGACTTCTGAGTCCGCTTAGCACTTCACACGCATGAATAATTTGTGTTAAAATCAAGCATCAACAACTAACTTCTTTAATTTAAAGATAAATGAAAAAGAAAAAAAAATTATAGATGACATAAATTCATTGAAGAAATCTTCTTATCGTAAATGGTAAAAGGCCAATGGACGATCTACAGAAGTGTATCCACAGGAAGTTGAAGCTCATGAAGAAGAAAAGATAATAAAGCAGCACCAACATGAACTTGTGCTAGTGCAAGAAGAACACCAGCAAACGCATGAGAATACTATCGCATGAACAAGAGCGAAGCCGAAAAGAAAGGCAAAAGGAAGTAGCGCGAACGACGGATGAGCCGGTGGAGGCGGTTCTGGCTCTTAAATTTGATTGGTGTTGTAAATTAAATTTTCATTCATTAACTGAATTTCAGTTAAATTAGATTTATTTAATTCACGTAATAGAACAGTAAAATTTGGTCAACAGAAAACATAAGACAGTAATTCAGATTAATTAAAATTTTATAATGTAGGACATATTTTATTTTCCTAAAATCAGATTTTTAAATTGTTTCTTGTTTCTTATTTGATTTTCTAATTTTAATTAGGATTTTATATTTGGGAGTTTAGTTGTTTTAGAATTTTAGTTAAATGAGGAAGATTTGTTTTAGTTAATTTTTTCTCTCTTATTTTAAATTTGCTTATCCTGGTAGATTTTTTACTGTCTTACTATAATAGACTTATTATGCTACAAACAATTAAAAATAGAGTATTGAATATTGATAAATTTTTTTAAAAGGTTTATTCAAGTGCTAAAGCGTATTCATTGTGTATCCATATTCTAAGTCAAATTCGAGTAAAACTAGTGTTGTAAGACCTAGACCAGCCATTGATCGATCAAGGAGCCGATTCTCTGGTCAATCGATTCGAGCTGCGGTCTTATCAGACCGATGATGTTAGCATGACATAATAAAATTTATTACACAATAATGATATATTTCCAAAATAATTCCATCAAAATCCAAAATTCAAATAACAATATTACATAAATAAAATAAATTGGAAATCGAAATCTAAACATGAAATTTTATTATGTCATGTTGACGTTATCGGTCTGACCAATCGGTCAGCCCTGAGTTAATTTGGTTAGACATTGTTTTTGTTGATTTAACCGTAGGTCAATCCAGTCTAACTGCTATGATTGAGTTTAGGATGTATCTAGATCGGATAAGGGTCCGTTCCCGATCAAACTAGTTGAACCAGTCAATCCAATCTAGGTTTTAAGACAATGCTTAAAACAATTGAGATTAATTCATGCCAACTCGCTGTTTAATTTTAATTAATCAATTATATGGGTTCTTTTGTATTTATGAAAGAAAAAAGTTTTTTGATATTTCTAATGAACCATGCCACGTGGCAAAAAAAAGCTCAATCGGGATAATTAATTTAATCCCCCAAGATTTCCCCAAATTCCAGTCAAGTATTAGTAATGATGTAAAACTCTCTCGCTATTTGTCAGATGTTAACATGATTGTCAATTTTTACCCCTTAGGGGGCATTTGATTCAGAGAATGTTAGATTACTGGAAAGTTAGATTATCTTGATTGTCAATTTTTACCCCTTAGGGGGTGTTTGGTTTAGGAAATGTTAGATTACTGGAAAGTTAAATTATTGAGAATTTTTAGGAAAATGTGTTTATTTAATTGGTGTGTATGTTATATTAATATGTTTGGTTGGGAAGAATAAATTGGTGGGTATATTATTTAAATTACTGAATTGTCCTCTAATTAAATATTATTATTATATTATTTTTAATATTAATTATTATTTGGATTATTATAACCCCTCTATATTTAAAAACTTAGCAAAAACAACCCCATAATAAAAGTTTGGAAAATCAACAAAGCACCCCCACTAACCTAGCCACTGCCAGCCGTCGACAATCACTGCAGGCTGTCGGCAACCTAACGGCACACGGAAGACAGGAAATGGCTTCCGTGGGCTGTATGGCCATTTTCGGCCAACGATTTGGCCGGAAATGGCCAGACGTGAGAGATCTGGCCGTCGATGGCTCAGATTCCGGCGGTGGCCGAGGCGCAGGTGAGTGGGGGGTGGTGGCTTGAGTGGGTTGCAATTTGTTTTGAGTTCAAGGGTAATTTTGTCCAAAAAGTTAATTAATTGGGGTGAAATAGTAAAAGTCATATTCATGTAAATAAATTAAAAAATAAGGGCATTATTATCCTCAAATTTTATTAATAAGGGATAGAATTGTAACAAAAAAAGATAACCCTGGTAATCTTAGAATACCTTAGAAAATAGAGGTAATCAGATTACCTTCAATATTACCAATAGTAACTACTATTGGTATTTAAAGATTATTGATATCTTATATTACTTAACAACCAAATATAATAATCAAGTAATATAAGATGACTTAACCTCAGTAATCTCTAATAACCTCCAACCAAACGCCGCTTAGATCTTAAATATATGCTTATAACAAAGAAATGGATAATTTATGAAACCCTCGAGGTTTTCCGAAATCCAAAACATCCACTCAGGCATGTATTATGATCGTTTTACCCCACCTGTGAAAACTTTAACGTGGATGTAACAAATAGTATCTGAGAGGGTTTTTAATATGGATAAACGTTAGGGGGTTCAAAAAACTATCCCAGTAACATTATAAATTGTGTTAAGAGACAAGTACGAGGCAAAGAAACTCAACTCTAATGGGCTTAACATCTTCGAAGCGAGTCGAGACCTCCTTATCCAATTCAACCGAGTTCGACTCAGCCTGCAACTCGGCCTACTCTCACTGCCTCTCCCTGACTCAACACGCCTTACCCGGCGTCCTCCCTTACCAGCTCATGACTGCCTCCGATCACATCCACCAAACCCTCCTCTCTCACCGCTCGCATCCCCTCATCCTCAAGTGGGTGCCGCACCCCCCGAGTCGGACCCTGGTCGACTCGGCCCTCAAGAAAGTCACCCTCCACTGGCACCTGCCCGAGGACGGGGACTTGGACGTCATCGGGCCGGCCCGGTTCAAGAAATGGGCTGTGGTTTTGTACGCGGACGCCGTAGTGGATAATGTCGGGAAGGCTTTAATGAGTCGAATTCCGATTGGAGTGGCGGGAATTGCCGGAATCGGAGCCATGACTCGGTCTGGGAAAGATCTTATTGGGGCCGCGATTGGAGTCTACGCAGTGGGTGTCGCCACTTCTATTTATCTTAGCTTGTCTGGTTAGTGAGAGTGAATTAATCTTTTTTATGATATTTTTATTTTATGTATATGGAAAAAAGTTATATTTTTCATCTCTCAAAGAGATGGGACACGTGGCAGAACTCTAGGATTTTAAATGAATGAACAAATATTTAAGTAATTATTGTAAATTTAGTTATTTATTAAAACTTTGGATTTAAGGGTGTGTTTGGAAGTGTTATTCTGATGAATGATTTTGCAAGTAGTGATTTTTGCTTCTTTGTTAATTATGTTGTGTTGACATCTTATGATAGCTCTTTATCAAAACTAGTGTAATTGTTATGAGAAGGAAGTTATAAAGTAATAATTTTGAAGGCATTGGATTGAGTTATGAGATATGGTCAAAAACACCCAATTCTACAACTAGATATAAAGATTTGTTTTTTCTGTATGAGGATTTAGATATTGATGCCAATTAGTATTATAAGAATTTGTTACATTTGGAGATTTGTGGCATAAATGTGTATAGTAAGTCTCTTTGGAGATACTCAATGTGATACTGAGAAATTGAGCAAGACTTTGTGTGACGATCATGTGCATCTGAGTGTATACATTTTTAATTTCGGTGCATGAGTGCGTGATTTTAAGTGGTAAAGAAAGTTAGTATAATAACTATTAATAGTGGAAGTAGAAAATTACGACGAACATGAAGCTTGCTTTTCTAGTTCAGTTGATTAAGTTTTTATACAATCAGATTCTTGTTTGTAGAGACTAATTTACATAACAATAAGAGCTTATATTGCACCAAAGCCTGCAGTGGAAAAAATACAAACAATTAAGCTTAAGTTAAAATTGGCGTTAATTTCTTAAAAGTACTATAATTTTCTGATGCATATGCAAAAAAATCTGTCAAGATCATATGAATGATCTTTTAGAAACTACTTTAAGTGAATATCTTAGAATTTTAGACACCTTGGAGATGATTCGACTTTACCTCTTCCTCATCTACTTCAACAACTTTTTCTTCCAGGTCACTTAATGGAAACTTAAGTTTGTTGAGATGATGCATGTCAGAGACCCGTGATAGGGGTTTAATTACAAGATCATCAGTAACCAAAAGTAATCCTTCTCTATTTACAAATCCACCTCCTTTTTTGGTAATGCTGGGAAGTTTTGGATTCATAATTGCTAGCTCTTCAGATTGTGTATGAATGCAACGTTTCATCCTAGAGAAACAAGCATAACATTTGTAACTGTTGAATTGCATTGGAGCCTCTTCTTCAATAGGAAGCAGTTGATTTCTGCAACCGAACTTGCTTGCAAGCTTAGGGCTGCGTATTGTATTTGCAACTCTAGTGGACTTCATGTAGTTGTTTGCTTCCAAGTTCATTGCACTTTGGTACAAGTTAGCTATGCGTCCTATGAAAAAAGTGTCCATTTAATAGCTTTACAATGGAACCTATTGGAAATGTGAGAAAAGAGAACAACATATCGACAAAATCTTCTTTAGCTTCAGCAAACAACACCCTCTTGTTGGACTTGCTACACAAGAGATTTATTTTCATCTTATGGGAAGCAGGTTTCTTCATTTGATGGTTATTTTGTATGCCTAATGGTTCTAATAGTAATCTGTTATAAAGGTCTTTTTCATCCGATAAAAAGACATCTGTGAAGTCTGACTTGGAGAGCATTGAACGCATAAGTGGATGCAAAACCTGAGTAGAAATCACATAGCAAACGTGAGCCTATTCAAATTGAGTGGCATCATAATGATCTTGAAAATTGCTGTGTAAAATGTGATGGAAATCATGTGTTTAGGACTTTTCTACTCGTTAAGACGTATGTAGCATATCCTTTGTAGTAATGTCAGGCATAATTTGATGATAATTTAGTTAATTCAATGACTGCACCTGCTTATGAGTGCACGATGAGACTAGGTGATGAAGAGAGACCACTCCTTATGTGCTGATATTTGACACACCATCATTGTGTAATAAATTTTAAAGTGGCATTTTAGATCAAAGAGTTGAGCAATTGAGCTTACTTTAGATTCTAAATTAAGTCATGATGCGTAGTGTAGGAGTTGAGTTTATTGTGGCTAACTGCCATTTCATTTTGAATCTTTGATACATTGGTGATGATATTTTGCTTAAATTTGATCTCACTTATTGTCATTCTCGATCTGGAAATCACTTGAGCATGTTTTTGAGATTTTATTTTCTAATTTCAGAACCCCTTATATTAACAGGTTGGAATTTTCTCCTTGTGGCTTCGATTTTTCAATTGCAGTTTCTTGATTGTGATGATTTAATAAAATTGTCTCCCTAATTGTTAGAACTAATGATTCAATATCAAAAGCACTTTAGTTGAAGGGCAAAAAGTTCCAATTATCTCAGATTGAATCAGTTGTGTTCTATAACTTGCAGAAGGTTGAAAAGTGACTCACCTCCTTGACCCTAAGCTTGATTTCTGTCTCTTCCTGAACGGCCCCATCAGGTACTCCTAACGGCTCAAGGATCAATCAAGTATTAGCTATAGATATCAGTAATACCTGCAAATCATCACTTATTATAGATCTGTCTTTTTCTTTCATGAAAACACCATTTGTATCATCAATTTTGTCCTCATACTTCACAGGCACCTCTTTGTCCATTAGTTCTAAACAAATGCACATGGGATCCTTGATGATGCTAACTAATCTAAAACCCGCTTTATTCTTGCAATTTTTAGTTTGCACATTTGTTGTACTTAGAGGGTTCTCTTCTGTCCAACTTTATGGCTAAATTCTTGCACTCGATGCCATAAGCGCTTACAGGATCAAGCGGCATCGTCCTGCATGCTTGCATGTAAAAGCAGCAGTCGTCCAGTGTCTGAACTCCGAACAGTTTTATACAACTCAGCCATTGAACCTATTCCTGATTTCTGATTAGTGAGTCTTATAACAGTTCCCATTGGTAGTGTGAGGAAACTGAACAGGATGTCAACAATTCTGCACTGGACTCCACATAGAGAACTTGATTCCTCTCTGTGTCGACAAGAAGCTTCAAGCTTATTGGTTTGGTGGCCAAAGATTCAATTATGCAGCTCCAGAAGTTTCATTGGTTCCTTCAAGAGCTCAAATGGTGGACCCTGAAGATCCTGAAATGTAAACTTCGATATCTGAGAAGTTTGAAGAATCTGAAGATTCTCAGGATCAAACAAAGGAAACAGGTGATAAAAAACAGAAGACAAATAGCTATAAAAGCTAGATGGGGGTATTGGGTATAAGGATAAGACATAACATATGCAAGAAATCTGCCATTCTCAGTTTTATCTTCAGTGAGGAGGTTTTATAATTCTTTTATCAGAAAAAAACTTGAAGAGTTTTGATGGAATCACCAGAAAATCACGCAACTCAACCAAATATTATTAAGGAAATTCAATAAAACAACCCTGCTCTGTAATACAAAACACTGATATTCTCATATACAGATGGGGATTGTTAACACTGCAACAACAAAAAAAGACAAAGAAAAGTTAAAAGTTGGCTAGCACTTCGAGGGTCTAGCAGCCTCCCTTGAGTCCAGATTTCATCCTCCTCAGCTTACAAATTGTTCTCTTAATACTGCTGAACTCACACTTTTCGCACTGCCCTTACAGGAGTTCTTCCTAACTGATTTAAAACTGCATTTCCTTTGCTGCCCTTGTCCAGTGAATTTCCCATGCTGCCCTTTCTCCTCTTTTTGTAAACTTTGGTTATAGGAGGCCTATCAATACCCCCCCCTTCAAGAGCCACCTTGTCCTCAAGGTGAAAATCAGGAAACTGCAGTTGGATCGTATATAAGCCTCCCAAGAAGCTTCAAATGTGGGGAGGTCCTGCCATTTAATCAGTACTTCCAGGGAGCCATCCAGTATGGGGTGTGGACAGGACTGTTTCCGGGGTAACCTGTAATTCCAAGTCTTTGGTTAAAAAGGAAGGGAGCTGCTGAATGGAACGGAAGAATGGAGGCTTGGCTTAAGTTGGAAACATGAAACACCGGGTGGATTCGAGCGTAGGAGGGAGGTCCAATCGATAAGCAACAGACCCGATCCTTTCTAATACTAAAGGGGCCATAGAAGCGAGGACTGCTTCTCATTAAGCTTCCGAGCCAAGGATCTAAATCGGTATGGTTGGAGCTTTAGATAGGCGAAATCCCCTGGTTGGAATACAACCTCTCGGCGGGGCGTCGGCAGATTGCTTCATCTGACCCTGGGCCACAGCCAAATTAGCTTGAGGTCCTCCAATATGGCGTTGCGGTCCCTAATCTGGCGGTTGACATCCTCAATCAGTGAGGGGCAGTCATTGAGTTTAAACAGAATGGGGGGGTCCCTACCATAAAGAGCCTTGAAGGTGTCATTTGGTGGAGCTGTGGTATGCGTGTTGTACCAAAACTCAGCCCATGCCAACCATTTGGGCCACTGTCGCGGTTGGGAGCTGAGAAACAGCGGAGGTAGGCTTCCAAGCATCTATTAACTACCTCCGTTTACCCATCAGTTTGGGGGTGATAGGCGGAACTGAATTTAAGAGATGTACTGCAGCTTTAAACAACTCTTGCCAAAATTGGCTCATGAAGACCCTGTCGCGATCCGAGACAATAGATAGTGGAAACCCATGGAGTTTAACCACCTCTGATATAAACACATTAGCTACGTCCTTGGCGTATAAGGATGGCTTAATAGGGGAAGTGGGAGTATTTTGTGAGTCGATCGACGACAACGAAAATAGTGTCAACTCCTTTGGCTTTCGGCAGACCCCTATGAAATCCATTGAAAGGTCCTCAAACACTTGGGTGGGTATGGGAAGAGGCTGTAACAAACCAGCAGGTTTGAGTGAGGAGTGTTTGTTGACTTGCAGACCGCACAAGCTTGAACAAATTTAATTACATCCCGACGGATACCCTCCCAATAAACGAGAGTAGCAATTCGTTTATATGTCCTAAAAAACCCAGAGTGACCCCCACTCGGGCTGCAATGGAACTCTTCGATTAACTTTGGAATGAAGGTGGGTTCCGAGGTAGAACCAACCTGTTTTTGAACATGAGGCAGCCTTTGCGAAGCTGGTGGGAGGGTGACTGTTGGGGTCGAACAGCAGGTCTTGGATAACCAGTTTGAGCTTCGGGTCAGTTGTGCTTCGGCTGAGATAGTCTCATAGTCTGTGAAATGGACTGTGGAATGGCCGTTAGTTCCTTGGTGTCCTCTCTCCGGATAATGCACTCCGACCTTGTTAGAATTTCCGGGCAGGTAGTGGATCTCAAAAGAGTACCCATGAGCTTCGAAATCCACTTGTGTTGATCTGGTGTTTTAACTCGTTGACCGTAAGAAACTGCAAGCTGCGCTGGTCCGTTTTGATGACAAATTTTCGTCCAATGAGGTAATGACTCCACTTACAACCGCGAAGACAACTGCCATCAGCTCCCGTTATAAGCTGATTTCAATCGGGATTGCGGTGAGAAAGCCTTACTGATGAAGGCAATCGGTCTGCATTCTGCACTAAAACAGCCCCCATTCCAGCCCCGGAAGCATCAGTCTGAATTTCAAATGGTAGCTCAAATTAGGTACAATTAAAACGGGGACAGTAGTCATGGCCGTCTTAAGACGGTCGAATGCCTCTTGAGCTTGCTTATCCCAGCGAAACGAATCCTTTTTTAATAACTGAGTCAGTGGTTGGGCTATGGATCCGTAACCTTTCACAAATCGTCGGTAATACCCCGTGAGCCCGAGGAACCCCCTCAAACATTTCACATTATGTGGTACTGGCCAGGATGTCATTGCAACAATCTTTTGGGATCAGCCTCTACGCCGGCAGCTGAGATTAAATGGCCCAAGTATTCCAGCTTATGCTTAGCAAATAGACATTTCTTTTGGTTGACCACCAACGCATTATCCTGCAGAATCTGGAAGGCTTGTCTCAAATGTTGAATGTGGTGTGACATGTCCAGGCTGTAGATGAGGATATCATCAAAGAAGACTAGAATAAACTTCCGCAGTAAAGGTCGAAAAATCGTGTTCATCAGAGCCTGAAAAGTGGATGGTGCGTTCGTGAGCCCGAAGGGCATCACCAAGAATTCATAATGGCCCTCATGAGTTCGGAAAGCTGTCTTCGGAATGTCCTCTTCCTTAACTCGAATTTGATGATATCCCGACTTCAAATCTAACTTGGAAAAGACCGTGGCCCCGGCTAGCTCATCCAACAGCTCGTCAATGGCAGGAATCGGAAACTTGTTTGGTATGGTGATGGTATTGAGTGCTCTAAAGTCAACACAGAATCTCCAACTCCCGTCTTTCTTCTTGACTAACAGTAGGGGCTGGCGTAGGGGCTGGTGCTCGGTTGAATGATTCCCGCATCCATCATTTCCCCACTAATCTCTCGATCTCATTTTTTTGCAGGTAAGGGTATTTATAGGGTCTGATATTGGGTGGGCTAGTCCTGGTTGCAGAGTGATCGTGGGTCAAGTTGTCGGGGGGGGTAGCCTAGTGGTTTGGTCAAAAACTGGTAAAAATCCATAAGCAACTCTGCCACCAGGGGTCAATTGTTCCTCCTCTGGTTCTCCTGAACTTCTATTGAGTGCATTCAACCAGGAATCCATCCCCTTCCGCTGGCAACATGCCCAGTAAGGTTTTCAGAGAGACAACAGTCTTAACTAGGGAAGGATCACCTTTGAGAACCACCCGTTTTCCTTCCTTATAAAACGCCATAGTCAATCGGCCCCAATTAGAGTAAACACACCTAGAGTACTAAGCCAAGTGATCCCAAGGACCACATCCGCACCGCCAATTGGAATGGAAAAAAATCCTGCTGCACTTCCATCCCTTGCATTTCAATCTAACCTCTCTGCATATTCCCTCCCTGGACCTGAATCCATTGCCCACCATGACACCGAAAGATTTCGACCATCCACTGGTATTCCCAATTTTCGCACCAACCCTTGTGAAATGAAGTTATGTGAGCTCCACTGTCCACTAAAACCACCACCTCTTCTCTCCCGATCTGCCCCCGAAGCTTCATTGTGCGTCGGTAGTGATGCCCACGATGGAGTTCAAGATAGTGAGAGGGATCACCTTCCTGAAAATTTCTGGTTCTGGTTCACTCGTGTTTTCCCCTTTCAGTTCATCGTCATCCAACAGTAGAAGAACTTGAAGAGATCGGCTCTTGCACTTGTGATTTGGCCCAATTTTTCATCACACCGAAGCACAACCCCCTTTCGCGCTTATACTGCAAATCTGCCTCGGTCGATCGTCGGAAGCCGTCGTGGCGTGGTGGCGTGAGGGTTCCTCCCATCACCTTTTCTCTCCTATCCCATGCGCGATTACTCTGTCTGTTTCTGGAGGCTTAGCACCTAGGTTCACCCCACTTTCTCTCCCCAGATCTGGCG